ATTAAGATCCTGTTTTATGCTGGGCCCAGTGACACTCCTATAATCCTAGTGACAGGAGTTTGAGGCAGAAGGATCACAAGTTGGAGGCAAGCCTGGGCAATTTAGTGAGACCTTGTCTCAAAATGAAAAATTAAAAGAGGCTGTGCATGTAGCTCAGTGGCAGAACGCCCCTGGGTTCAATCCCTAGTATACCCCCCCCCCAAAAAAAAAAAAGAAAAAAAAAGAAAGAAACTGTTGTTTTCCCCCTTTACTTTCCATTTATACTCACTTTATGCCTCTCATTGGGAAATCAGTCAGCTTCCTGGGCAGCACTAATTTCAAACCTTTCTTTGCAGAGATGCTGAGGATGCAATTTATGGAAGGAACGGTTATGATTATGGCCAGTGTCGGCTTCGTGTGGAGTTCCCCAGGACTTATGGAGGTCGGGGTGGGTGGCCCCGTGGTGGGAGGAATGGCCCTCCTACAAGAAGATCTGATTTCCGAGTTCTTGTTTCAGGTATGTTCCTTTCAAACTTGATGAAATGATACATACACCATTTAGTGTAGAGTCTGGCTTCTAAGGAATTTTAGTGGTTATTCTTCACTGCATGGAATACGTGGGCTTTCTTTTCAGTAACCTGTGCCAAAGCCCTGCTCTGGCCTGCCAGTGAGGCAGGTATCCTGCAAATGATATTGCAGTAGTAGTTCACTCTGGGTAGAACATAAACCTGATTATAAAGGAGTTACCTAGTGGTGAAAAGGAAATTGATGTTAGAACTCTTTGAGTTTGAAATCTGAAGATGTTTTTGTTAGGAACATACCTTGATATCAGACTTGCTAGAAAGACATCACAGGAGCCAGATTGGAACAACTTACTCAGCCTTAGATCCTTAAAAAAGGCGAGATTTTGTGGTGATTTGAGAATTATATTAAAAACCAACCAAAGAAAACTCCACAACCAAATCTTACTATATTGGAAAGTATGAAACATTTCTGTTTATCAACAAGTGATAAAATTCTTAGAGGTTTATGTATCTTTGAAACATTAATACAATGGTAAAGACCCAAGGTCCTCTACACATTGCAGAGAATTATTAGGGCCCTAGTGGAGTGAAATGTATTGAGGAACCTGGCACCTTTTTAATATGTGAATGTTCTACAATCACAGCCAGTTACCATGTGCTTAAAAGTGATACTCAGTATCTGCCTATCTTGTGTCCCTTTGTAATTTTTTAACCCTAGAACTCTATTCCCTCCTTCAGGATGTCATACATTATCTTTTTTTCTCTCCATGCTGCTCTGAAATCCTGCTTAGAAAACTATTAGGAAATGGCTGCAGTCCTGAGCTGTGAGCGGTAAACACAGCCTTTGAGAGCAGGAGCACATTTCCTTTTCATGACACCAGGTAGGGTTGTATGACTCCCGACTAGTTTTAGCGTCTGAGTATTACCTTTCCCCCCACTGTAGTGAAGAATGTTGGTGATCTCTTAAGAGGTACTTTGTTTGGTTTGTCAGTCACTTGCTCCTATGAGAAAACAAACTTTTTTAGATTTTTGTTGTTAAATTTCAGCTACACTTTGGTTATTTTGTTGGCTTATTTCAAAATTTCCATGTCTTGGGAAAACCTGCAGGCAAGAAATAATTGGTACTGATAAATTTCATAATGGGAAGTTTTGGGAGTTTGACATTGTCTATGAAGAACAAAGAAAGAGGCTATGAATTTTGCTCTGTTGGGAAGGTTTGGTCTCTAGAAGATAAGACTAGGGCCAGCTTCTCAATTACCACACATGTATCTCAGTGCTTTTCTCTGGTTTTGAGTCCCTTATCAATATTTGCGATTTGGGGACCCTTAGGAATTAAACAATTCATAGAGAAGAGACCATAGATATTGCTGACTCTTATCAGGGCAGTAGACATGGCTGAAGGATGTGGGTTCTTCTCTTATGTTTTCTGTGCCTAGGACTTCCTCCTTCAGGCAGCTGGCAGGACCTGAAAGATCACATGCGAGAAGCTGGGGATGTCTGTTATGCAGATGTGCAGAAGGATGGAATGGGGATGGTTGAATATCTCAGAAAAGAAGACATGGAATATGCCCTGCGTAAACTGGATGACACCAAATTCCGCTCTCATGAGGTAGGGCCTTCCTTACCTTCTATTTCTAGGTCATTCCACCCAACTCTAACCTAGCAGTAGTACTAACAGGCTATGCATTTGCTATTTGTTTGATGATCTCACATTACCATTAAAGATCTATTTTATGTGAAAAAAAATTGCCATGCCTAAAATACTGATGTAGTCTATCATAATGTGGTGGATTACTCTGTGATACTACCCCCTTACCACTGGCTCAAAAAGCAGTTTCTCTTATAACTGTCCCTCTTCTGTGTCTAGTCTGGGATTTATAGGCCAACCTCTTCCCTTAATTGGTACTGCTGACAGTATTGAGTTATTACCTTACTGTTCCTTTTCCATTATAGTGCAGGTCTCTTTTGAAACTTGAGCTACCTTGCCATCATGTTGTAATAGCCACCTCATCCTTGGGGCAGAGTTCCTGATGTTCTTCCTTTCAGGAAGACAGCTGCTGCTTTGGATCTCTCAATTTGATTCAAGTGGTGACTGTCCCTTTGGTACCATTTTGCCCAGACACCAGACTGTCAATTGGACACTGACCTTCTTTTCTGGTTATCTATCCTGAGTTGCTATGGTGTTTGGGGATACCTGGGGAAGATAGATCTCTAGGCTCATTTCTTTTTCTGAGAATTCATATAATTCTCTAGTTTTATGATTTGGAGGCTGGTCCTTGCATGGCTTAAAAATGCTTTAGCTCAGACTGTCATTTACAGCTTGAATTTGGAAACAGAACAGTACCTGGTCCTCCCTATAAGGCAGGGCTTCAATAAGGGTAAATCCAATGACTGACTTTTACCTAATGTGACAAACAGTTGGTTGAGAACAGAGGGCTGAGAGATAGTCCAGCCTAGATATGATTCTTCTTCTGGTTATTAATTTTTTAAAAAATATTTTTAGCTGTCAGTGAACCTTTATTATTGAATTTGTTTATATATGGTGCTGAGAATTGAACCTAGTCCCTCACACATGGTAGGCAAGTGCTGTACTACTGAGCCACAACCCCAGCCCCTGGTTATTAATTTCTTAGATTGTGTCCATATGTAAAATATTTTCATAATAACCTGGTCACTAGACTTACCAGGAAGCTAATCTAGGAGGATAACAAGAGCATTAGCCCAGGACCTACGAGGTAGTAAATAGGAGGTAGCTTCTGTAGATGCACATTTAAAATGTCAAATTGCCACTTATTATTTGTGTCAGTCTTCATTTATTTGTGTCAGTCTTCATTTTCTTCCTTTTTGAAATGGGATAGTAAAGAGTACCTACCTCTGTAACATTGTGAGGATTTAATAAGAGAGCACTGCCAGATATGGTAAGAGCTAAGGACTTATTGTTAGGCAGCTGATTAGATCTTGGTTTGCTTATTCTTCTGGTTCTTATTTTTTTTTTTTCTTTACTCTGTTCAAATTTCAGGGTGAAACTTCTTACATCCGAGTTTATCCTGAGAGAAGCACCAGCTATGGCTACTCACGGTCTCGGTCTGGGTCAAGGGGCCGTGACTCTCCATACCAAAGCAGGGGTTCCCCACATTACTTCTCTCCTTTCAGGCCCTACTGAGACAGGTGATGGGAATTTTTTTCTTTATTTTTTAGAAGAACTGAGCTGCTTTGTGCTCAGAATCTACATTCCAGATTGATGATTTAGCGTCTTAGGAAATTTTTTTAATTTTTTTTTAAGGAAAAAGAAAACTACATAATTTCTACCAGGGCCATATTAGCAGTGAAATGTTTAAACTGCAGAAATTGTGGTTTTGGTTCAGAAACAAGTTGTATATTTTTCACCCCTGATTATGGGAAAAAAATCAGTGCTATGTCTTTGTGGGTTGCTCTGCTATGGAGATCAGCAGTTACTGTGACTGAGTCGGCCCATTCTGTTTAGAAATATATTTTAAATGTTTAGTAATTGACATGTGTTGTTGTCCTTGATTAAGTACATAGATTTCACCTAAGAGGTACACTGGTTTAAGGAAAAAAAAAAAAATCATTGAGTCATAGGAGCACCTTGTACCAAATTTGTTTTTGTATTTTGATGCTGGGAATTGAACCTAGGGGTGCTTTTACCACTAAGCTACATCCCCAGCCCCTTTTTATTTATTTTGAGATAGGGTCATTTATTTTGCTTAGGGTCTTTTTAAATTGCTCAGGCTGGCCTCCAACTTGGGATCCTCCTGTGTCAGCCTCTTGTACCCAATTGGTAAGGAGTAGATATAGATTGTTTTACTTGGGGATGATAGTTGCTCTGATAGTGGTTTGAGAACTTCAACCTCAAGTACAGATTCAAAATTCTAATTCAAGGCCAACCTTGTAAATTAAATTGCCTAAAAGAAAAAAAAGGGAACATTGCAGATAAGAGAATGGGAAGAATCAAAATGCCCAGGGCTTTTTTTTTTTTTTTTTTTCTTCTGGTAGCAGGAATTGAGCCCATGGTTGCTTAACCACTGAGCCACATCTCCAGGCTTTGAACTTGGGATCCTCCTGCCTCAGCCTCCTGAGCCACTGGGATTACAAGTGATGGCCACTGCAGCCTGCTCCAGGACTATTTTATTTTTATAAGGTTTTTTTTTTCTTTTTTTCCCAGAAAGAGAAACTAGTAACATATTTGCATATACTCACTTTGTGGGGTGGAAGAAGGTTTTAGGTTAAGAGTTCAAGCTATAATCTACTTTTTTTAAATTTTGAGACAAGACCTCACTAAGTTGCTGAGGGTGGTCTTGAACTTGTGGTCCTCCTCCCTCAGCCTCTTAAGTGGCTGGACTTACAGGTGTGTCACCACACCCAGCCAATTTGAACACTTTTAAGACCTGAGCAGAAAGTTAGTCCCCTTGTTCTGAATAAGGTGGATACCCAAGAACAAATGCAGGTACAACTGGTAAGGGAAAGATAGATGACAACTCAGGTTGTCACAGTAATCAGATACTGTCTACCAGATTTTTATTAATATTCTACCAGAGTTTATATATATATATATATACAAGTTCACTTATATAGTTTGGTAGACAGTTTTTTAGGAGGAAATAATGTTTTCCATACTGAACAGGTCTGCAAGCAAGTATAAGATTGATTTCCTTGGAAGCTGACTTTTGCTCTTTACTATCAGGAATTCAGTGCTTTGTTTTGGCCAGATTTTTTCCAGTTCTGTCTTCAGAAGAGTCAGATACTAAGAAATGCTTAAACATCCATTTTTTTCAGGTGATTAAAGAAGTGGGAACAATAGGGTTCACAGTAACAAAATACCATCATTGCTCTTCCACATGCTCATGGGGTATCCCCTTCCCAGAATGACTACTCGAGTCTGTTGGGAAGGGCAGTTGTTCACCCAGCTGTGGCAAAGAGATATTACCTGTTTGAAAACAATAGGAAAGAATGTTACAGCTGAACCTGCTATCCACCTGGCTCTAACCAGATCTAACTAATCACTTGTTTTTCATGGAAGTAAGTGTGGCTTCAATCCCATTTTCCTGGGTATCTGAAAGAATTACAGTTATAAGTGAAGCCAAGTTAATGCACACTTTTCAATAAGGAGTAGAGATAGACTGCATTCATTTTGTTCCAGCAAGTGGTCTGAAGCAAGGTTTGTTTGGAAGTTAGTATGTATTTGATCAGTAATCATCTGCTGAAGCAGTGACAAGTTTATAAAATTTCTTAAGTGAATCAAAGGCATGTTTTAGAATTAGGTCGTAAGTTTGCTAGCCTGCCTTTCTATCCTTGTGGCAACCAGAACTGTCCTAACCTGGATGGTCTTAATGAGTCCCTTGAAGAGGTAACCTCTGCACTGACTAGAGCTGATGTTTTATGTGGAGGCTGCCCAGAATGCTTCTCCCCCAAGAGATGTCCCATTCTCAATTGCCAAAGGGGTGTAGCAGCTCTGAGTACTGACACATATGCACAGGAGATAAAAACACTCAACCTACCCATGATTCTGGATTTTATTGGCCTGGAGTTCTTTTAAAGCTCCTACAGTAAGGTTAAAGATGACATTCTCCAGGAATCTGGCTTGTAGGTATGTTTTATTTGGCCTTCATAGAACTTCATTGTTTTTAATTTGAATTGATTGCCAACAATTAAAATTTTGGAAATATCTTACAAAAATGCCAGATACCCACATTCTCTGGGAAAATGGGCTCACATTCCTACTTGATGGTCTCAAAAGAAGCAGTGAATGCCAGCTATTTCCTTAGGCAGTGCTTCAGATTTGCCACCCACCATAAACCCCCAGTCCTGTTTTGCTGTTTCCCATTGCTTACTACACCATAGAGTAAGTATGATACCTGGACTCTACTGCTCTCCTAATGCCACACATACCTGGGGGGGCCACAAAATACTCTTCCACCACACGATGGGAGTTTTGCAGTAGTTCTTCAGCACAGTTGCCTTCTGCTATGTTGTCGGATCTCAAGTACAGACATCTACAAAACCCAGAAGCTCAAAGTTACCATTGGAGAGAATGAGGCTTCTAGGGCAGTGGAGAACTGCCCTAGAAGAGAACAAGGGAACAGCATATTCTTGATTTACGGTCACTGCTCCAGGATAAAGGAGCTATGATCGGGAGTAGACCAAATATTCATCTATAGTTTATAGATTCTCCCAACAACTATGAGGTAAGTGGTAATTAATTTTCAGAATCTATCTTTCTTTGCCACTGGTACAAGGAATCGAACCCAGGGTCTCATGCAAGCTAGACAAGGGCTCTAGCACTGAAATACATCTCCATCTCTTCTTTTTAAATTTAGAGATAGGGTTTTGCTAGTTGCTGAGGCTGGCCTCCAACTTTGGATCCTTCTGCCTCAGCCTCCAAGTCACTGGGATTACAGGTGTGTGCCACTCTGCCTGTCCCTAATGGGATTTGAATTTTGTCACAGAAGGGCAGGAATAACATGAATACCTGGGCAAAGGCTGCCTGTATATGAAGTCTAAGTTAAAAGATTCTTTTAAGAAAGGACTAAAAGAATCCTGGCATCCATCCCAGAGCTAGAAACAACAAATATTTACTCATACTAGGAGAGTTGGTCTTAATCTATCTTAACTGTGGCCTTGAAGAGTGATCTTATCAGAACTTAAGTTTGTTCAAAAAATGAGGGCTGTGTGTTGGTATTTTTAATGGGATTGTACATTCATTTAAGACAACTTGGAGAACAAAAATAAAAACCACCCATAAAGGTAACCACTGGACTTTCTTTTTCTTTTAATATATCCTATCATTTTTTTCCCCTGTCAGACTGGGGCTTGAAACCCATGTAAAATGCTTCATGATTGCTGGGAAGATTGAAAATAATGGCATTAAAAATAAGACCAGGGGCTGGGGATATAGCTCAGCTGGTACAGTGCTTGCCTTACATGCACAAGGCCCTGGGTTCAATCCCTAGCAGCCAAAAAAAAAGTGGTGGGGGGAGGGCTGTGGCTGTGGCTCAGCGGTCGAGTGCTTGCCTTACACGTGTGAGACCGTGGGTTCAATCCTCAGCACCACAAAAAAATAAGTGAAATAAAGGTATTGTGTCCAACTAAAAAATAAATGTTTAAAAAAAATTAGAACTGGGGTAGTGACTCAGTGGTAGAGCCCTTGTCTAGCACTTGTGAGGCACTGGGTTCAAGTCTCAGCACCATAAATGAATAAAGGTCCATCAACAACTAATAATTTTAAAGAAAAATGATCTGATATTGATGGGCCCACATTCCTTGCAGTAAAAAATTGGTGCTGAAGAAAAAAAGAAGGTGCTGAATGGCATGTTCAATTTTCATAAAGAGCCAGTAAACCTACTATACCTTGGTCTCCATCACTTATTTGAAGTATTTGAATGTTCTGACAAAAGATTCTGCTATCAACAACAGAAGCTTAAAAACCACTGCTTTCCAACAGGTTTAACAGTAATCGATTTGTTCACTCATTGGATACAGGTTTCCTATGTAAGTGAGATTCCCAGGAAAACAAAATTCACATCTTTAAATAAATACCACATTTCCACTTAATTACTATTTACAATGAAGTCATTCCTAATAGATATCCCCATTTTCTTCTTCATTATGGGCTAATGAAACCAGCACCTCTGCTAGTGGCACAGCAAACCCCTTCATTTGGCAAACTGCTTAACTTTCCTGTACACCAGGATCTTATTTAAAACAGGAGCAGATGAACTATTCTGGTCTTTATTGTTTTTGTGGTATTGGGGATTGGATGCTGTGCCTCAGGTCAGTTATTGCTTGAGAAAGGTCCACTTCCTTTCTCAATTAAGAGTTCTATAAGATAAGTTAATATAGGGGCTAAGGTTGTGGCTTAGTGGTAGAGTGCTCATCTCGCACATGTGGGACCCTGGGTTTGATCCCTCAGCACCACATAAAAAATAAGTGAGTGAAATAAAAGTATTGTGTCCAACTATAAAAATAAATATTTTTTAAAAAAGATAAGTTAATATAAATACTCCCAAGGCATCCATTTTGTGAATAGATGAATTTATTTCCTATGCATCGGGGCTAACGTTAGTTATGTACTGTTTTTGAAAGAAATAAAGAAAATACTTCATTTTTTTTCTGTGTTCCCATCAGATGAGGAACCCTGGCAGAGCGCTCACCTAGCGCATGCAAGACCCTGGGTTTGATCCTCTGCACCATTGTATCCAACTACAATTAAAAAATAAAATATTTTAGAAAAAAATCCCTGCCCACTAAAGCTCCAAACCAAATCACACCAGAAGCTGAGGAAAATACTACTAAAAAAAAAAAAAAAAAAACATGGAAAGTGCTGTGACACCACAGAATAAAGAAAAGTGACTCATTTGTGCTTCTGCTGGTCCTTGGGCTAGCTGATGGGCCAGTTCTGCCAAAGCTTTTTTTTAATTTTTATTCCAGGGGTGGGGGTAGATTAGTAGTGGGGATTGAACCCAAGGATGCTTCACCACTGAAGTACATCCTCATCCCCTTTTTGTTTTGAGACAGGTTCTCAAGTTACAACATAAATTGCTCAGGGCATTGTTGAAGTTGCTGAGGCTGGCTAGGATTATAAATTGCTGAGCCACTAGGATTATAGGCGTGCACCTAGGGGTTCACTTTAGCTGGCATATCTATCATAATGAGAGAAGAGGATTCTCTAGTATCTGTGAAATTCTGAGCCTTTGCATCTAAAAACATGCTTGTCTTTCAAGGTTGTGATAACTGAGATAATGCATATAAAGTCGTACCCTAACACTAAGCACACTAATGCTTTTTAGCTCAAACCAAATGATATGTTATTAATATGCAAATAAATTTCTCTTGGCCAGTCAGGACTTTTACACCTAGTATTGACTATTGCCTAAAAGCCTGGTGAATACCTGTCTTTACCAGGTTCTGTTTCSGATTCAGTCAGTTTGTTCAAAAATGTAAGTCCCACAAATATCACATTTAAATAATAATAATCGTTAACCCAAACAATTTAAAATTTATGGAGACAGTGCAGGTCAGTAACAGGCCAAATTGAGATTCCAGCTGCAATTTCCTTGTTATCTTTTTCACAAACTCTTTCTAATGGAAATGTAATAGACTATATCCACCCTGTCCTCTTCCCAGCTGCTATGCATTTCTTTACAGTTACACACTGGTGACTTAGGAAATCCTGAATTCTTTGTTCTGTTTTCTTTTAACAAGGATATTAGTAAAGAACATTCAGCCAGGTGCAGTGGTGCACACCTGTAATCCCAGCAATTCAGGAGGCTGAAGACAGGAAGGTCACAAGTTGAAGGCCAGTCTCAGCAGTTTAGCAAGGCCCTAAGCAATTTGGGAAGACCCTGTCTCAAAAAGGACTGAGGAGGTGGCTCAGTGGTAAAGTGCCCCTGGGTTCAATCCCCAATACCAAAAAAGAAAAAAAACATTTTCATTCAGCGAAAATGGAGTATCTACTCAGTGCTAGGCATTAAAAACATCAGGAGCAAAATCAAATATGCTCCCTGGCTGAGCATGAGGAGAGGAGTAGACAATCAACAACCTTCATATAGATGTATAAATACAAGTGATTATCAGCTTATTGAACATCACGAGAGCCACATGTCCTGAAAAAGACCCTAACTCATTATGGTTTGTATCTGGAATGGTCACCTCAAGTTTCATAGTTTCAGGCTGGGACTGTGGCTCAACTGTAGTGCACTTACTTGCCTGGCATGTGTAAGGCACTCAGGGTTTGGTTTTCAGCACCATATATAAATGAATAAAAGATCTATCAACAAGAAAAAAAAATTCATGGTTTTGGGTGGTGTTTTTTGTTTTTTTTTTTTTTTTTTTTTTTGGTAGGGATTGAATCCAGGATGCTTTTCAAAATAGACTGTTTTTAGCTGGGCACACTGGCACACATTTCTAATCCCAGCAAATCTGCTCAACTCAGGAAGTTGAGGTAAGAGGGTCAGCAACTTAATGAGTCTCTAAACAATTTAGTGAGAACCTGTAACAAAATAAAAACTAAAAGGGGCTTAGGACGTAGCTCAATGGTAGAATATCCCTTGGTTAAATCTCCAGTACCCCCTCCCCAACAAAAAAAGAATATTTTTTTTAAATTGTATTAACATTTAGCAACAGTTGGTGGGTAGAAGCTATATCTTTTTTGTATTCACAAGCCAGTTTGTCAATGACCTACCCCCGAAAATTGTACTACACTGCTTCACTAGGTATTATTCTGCCCCCTTAGGCCTTTATGTTTGGGATCCCTTGTATAAAATATATATAGTATAAAGTTTCCTTCCACATTCCCACCTTTTTTTTTTTTTTTTTAAAGACCAGTTTCCTGTGTTGCCTAGGCTGACCCTGAACTAGATTCAAGCAAAGCTCTAGCCTTAGCCTCTGGAGTAGCTGGGACTACAGTGTTGGCCACCACATCCAACTTCCTGTTTCCTTTAAAACTGGTTAACAGTATTTCTTGTATAAAGAATATATAGAATATAAAAATAGGTTACATAAAAGCATCAAATACTCTAATTTTTGGTCTTTTTATTGAATGTATCTTGGGGACTTTTTTTTTTTTAAATACTAGGGAGATTGAACCCAGGGGAACTTAACCACTGAGTTACATCCCCAGCCCCTTTTATTTTGAGACAGGGTCTCATTAAATTACTTAGGACCTCACTAAGTAGCTGACACTGGCCTTCAACTTGCAATCTTCTTGCCTCAGCCTCCTGAGCCATGTACTACTACATCTGGCTCCTTTTTCTCTTTGGGGACAGGGTCTCACTAGATTGCCTAGGCTGGCCTCTATCTTGTGATTCTCCTGCTTCACTCTCCCCAGTCACTAGGATTATAGGTGTGCACAACCGCACCTGGCTTATTTTAATTTTTTTCTTTTTCAGGTACTGGGGATAGAACCCAGGGGCCCTTACCTCTGAGCTACATCCCAGCACCCCTGCTTTTTTCTTTCTAATTTGAGACAGGGTCCTTGCTAAGTTGCCCAGGTTGGCCTCTAACTTCCAATCCTCCTGCCTCAGCCTATCAAGTAGCTGGTACTACAAGTGTGCACCACCATGCCTAGCTTTTCTTGGAGACATTTCCATATACACGGTTACTTGACTTATATGCTGATAATATGACACATAAATAACATGTTTCTTTTTTTAGAGAGGTAGTGGGTATTGAACCCAGGGGCATTCCACCACTGAGCCACATCCCCAGCCTCTTATTTTTTGAGATAGGGTCTGGCTAAGTTGCTGAGGCTTGCTTAGAATTGTGACCCTCCAGCCTCACCCTCCCAAATAACTGAGATATCAGGCAAGCACCACTCTGCCCAGCTAGTTAAGTTACATTATTTTGAACTGCCAAATATTACATTGTATGATGTATTTGTTATTTATTTAGGTTGTTTATGGGTTTGGCTTGGTTTGGGGTGTTATAAACAGTTTTGCAGTGGACACTGTGCATTTTAATTTTTTTCTTTCCCACCCCCTGCCACCAACTGGGAGTTAAACCCAGGGCTTCCCAAGTGCTCTACCTTGGAGCTAGATTCCCAACTCTTTGAATCTGTATCTTGATGGACTTTCACATATCTTTCCATAAGAAAACATTAGGTCAATTTGTACATATGTACATTTAAATTTTTGAAACAGTCATAACACTAATCAAGGCAGAAAATTAGCTCACATTGTAATAATTAGAGACATAAATCAACAAAATATAAAATGTTGGCTAGGGAGAAAGCTCAGTGGTAAAGCACTGGCCTAGCATGCATGAGGCCCATCACCACATAAATATCACAACAACAAAAAAGATTATATATGTAAAAAATAAAATGTCAAGGAAACAAAAGGATAAAGAGTGAGCAGTTGGAAGGAGAGAGCAGTTGCAGCGGTGAGGAGAGGCTCTCTTAGAAGAGCTGAGAATCAAGTGCCGAGAAGGAGAATGCTATGCAACGATATGGAGGCCTATTGGTGGTGGGGGGGGGGGAACAAATGCAAAGATCCTAGGGTCGGAATGAACTTGACTTAGTGGGAAAGCAGTTAAGGAAGCCAGTGTGTTTTAATCCCAGCGGCTCAGGAGGCTCGCAAGTAGACAGCCTTGGCAAATTAACAAGGCCCTGAGCAACTTAGCCAGACCCTTTTTTTGAAAAAGGGATATTTTTTGAAAATAAAGTGCTGGGATTGTTGCTAAGTGGTTAGCGCCCCTGGAGTTAAATCTCTAGTAGCAAAAACCAAAAAAACAAAATAAAGCCGGAGCGGAGCGGTGTATAGAGAGGGAGGGACTAGTATGTCAGATTGGTTAGGCAAAGACTAACGTAGGGACTGAAAGGTGATGATGATTAACAGGCAGTTCGGATTTCGCCCCTCCGTACGCTGAGAGGACTCGTGGATTCTAAATGGGAGTGACAGGATCCATAATGAACAAAGCGAAGGACGAAGCCACTTACCAGCGGGGTGACAGTGGGCAAACTCCCAATCGCGCTACAGCTCTTTCACCCTCTGAAACCGCACAATAACCGCCGCCACAGACCGCTGTGAAGGCCCACAGTCAAGCCTTCGGAAACCGCAGCGACTTTACCTGTCCTCCAGTACCGACTCCATGGGCTCCACCCCATCAGTGTCCACCGCGCGGAGCCGGTCAGCGAAGGCGACGGCTTTCTCCAGCCGCACCACCGCCTCGCGGCTGCTGAAGTCCACCAGCGCTAGACGTTCCAAGTGCTCAATCACGTCGGCCGTGATCCGCCCGCATCCCTGGGGATACGGAAGGGACATGGATCACGGAGAGGCCTAGGCCATCTCTCACCCGCCCTCCTAGACGCCCCTGGCCTTTACCTGAGAATCCGCCTGGCAGGTGAAGCCCCGGCGCCCGCCCAGAGGGACCCGAAGAGCCAGCCACACCGCCCGCGCCCACATTTCTTCCCTTTTCGGCCTCCGTAGTGCGCCCAAATGAACTGCCCAGCGACACGTTTAAAAGTGATGACATCAGAGTGCGCCTCCGTCGCCTCCGCCATAGCCATGAACAGCGTCGGGGAGGCTTGCACCGACATGAAGCGCGAGTATGACCAGTGCTTCAATCGCTGGTTTGCGGAAAAGTTCCTCAAGGGAGACGGCTCCGGGGACCCGTGCACCGACCTCTTCAAGCGCTACCAGCAGTGCGTGCAGGTGAGCCGCACCCGAGTCCTGGTCTACCCCGAGGCCCCGCGTTCTCCGCTGTGTCCCCAGCCACAAGTCTTGCGTCTGACGGACGTTGGCATCAGGAGGGTGGAAGAAAGCCTCAGTGAGGCCGGTGGCAGCAGCCTCTCCCCTACCATCACCACTGAGTCCCCCGAATGTCTCTCCGGTTCAACGTTTTTGCAATGCTTTACTTTTTACGGAGCACAGTACATTCTTTGGTTCATTTTCTAGGTGCTCTTCCTGAACTTGCAAAGTGGCCGCAGTTATCTATATTTTATATGTGGGAAACTAACACTCAGAAGCGTAAATTAATTGGCTTAAGTTCACTAGTACTAGGTTTCCGTGATTCTTTTGCCTGTGGCGCACCTTTCTACTGTTACTGTAGGGTGGGCCAGGTGGTTACCGTCTTCTGGCCTGTTCCACACTGTGGAGGGTCCCGTTGTTTTCGTATAATTCCTTCCTTGGCCTGTTTTTCGGACCGGTTACTAACTGGAGCTAATAAAGCTTCATTCTTGCGCAAGGGGCATATAAGTGCTCTGCGTTGTAAAAAACAGCCCTGGGAAAAGCACTAAGCTAAATTAACCTAAAATATCCTTCTGTAATTCCACCAGGGAGTTGCTGCCTTTACCCTATTTTCAGATGAGGACAGTGAGGCTGGCAAAGCCAGTAAGCCCGGAATTCAGATTTGAACTCATGTCTATCACTAAAATAGTGAGGATGGCATTTGTCAGATTTCACTTCTGAATTTTGAATTTTAACGGTTCCCTTCGCAACTCCTTTTGAATCTCTCTGTTCTTACACTTGCTTTCTTTATAATGGTACTGTTAAAAAGTATGTCATTTGAATCTTGGGTTGTGAGTCTATGTAATTCATTCTTTTTTTTTTAATGTTTATTTTCTAGTTGTAGTTGGACAGGATACCTCTATTTCATTTATTTTTATGTGGTGCTGAGAATCGAATTTGGGGCCTCACACATGCTAGGCAAAAGCTCCACCACTGAGCCACAACCCCAGCCCCTATGTAGTTCATTCTGATTTTACCTTTGTGGCAACACATTTTATTTACAAAGTTTTGATTTTAAGTTTCCTATACAACTTTATAATGTATTTTCTTTTTTCCATCAGAAAGCAATAAAAGAGAAAGAGATTCCTATTGAAGGACTGGAGTTCATGGGCCATGGCAAAGAAAAGCCTGAAAACTCTTCTTGATATTAGCTATCACCTTGAAAATGGATTCCTATATCAGGAAATTGAGGACTCTGGATTTTGTCAACTAAGGCTGTGAAGATAGCTGTAGGATTCAATGAATATAGGAGGAAATTGTTTTATTTCTTCTCTATTGATGTTTTCCTCTCACTTTAAAAGATGATGAACCACCACTCTTCTTTGAGATGATTTCTCACTTGATCTGGCRTCTTCCAGAACCTCAGTGGGCTAAAACTGAACAGTTTCTTGGGATTATGGTTGCAATACCTGGTCTGAAATCAGCTTTAAATATATCTTGTATATAAATTATTGATAAACTAGTCAAGRTGAGCAGGGTTGCCTGACTTCTTGGTTTTGCTGCAAAGGACATTAGGTACATTATACTGGGGTCGTTGTTCATGAAAACAATTGGGTAGGACTTCTTTCTTCTCTCAGGGAGCTAATGCTTTAAAAAAGGGATCCAGGCACAACAGTTTCATCCAGTTTATTTTTATAACAGTTGAAAAAGATTGCTGGTGGCCTGGGTAAGCAAAGAGGAAGACATTCTTTAACAGACAGTTCCCTGCCTTAATAAGAGGTGTCCAATTAAGACATGAAAGCTTCAAGAATGTTAAAACGAACACCATTTCAGAGATCACAGCATAGTTCTGGAATTATGTTACTTGGAGTTGCTATGGCAAAGAATCCAAACTACAAAAATTTGTTATTGCCAGTTATCAACCCAAGTTAATGAATTAAGTCAACCTGCGTATCATAAAAATGTCAAAATGCTGCATCTGGTTAAATGGAGGGGAAAGGTGCTTTCTTCATTTGCCTTGTTTGCCCACCCTGCCCTATATATAATGTCTGTAATCATGATGATGAAATAAATTTTAACATTTAGTTTTTATCATTATTTGCCCCTGGAATTCAAGTGTACTTTATGGAATACCTATTACTTTGTTACCCTACATAATCTCATATATACACTGAAGAGAGGTTTGTGCTTTATAATTTAAAGCTGAAGAAAAAATGAGAATTAGCTAGTGTGGTGGCACAGCCTATAATCCCAGTTACTTGGGAGGCTGAGGTGAGAAGTTTGCAAATTTGAGGCCAGATTGGGCAACTTAGTGAAACACTAATCTTAATTAAAAATTTTTAAAAAGGGCTGGGTGCAGTGGCTTGGGAGGCTGAAGCAGGAGGATCGTGAATTCAAAGCCAGCCTCAGCAAAAGCAAGGCTCTAAGCAACTCAGATCTTATCTCTAAATAAAATACAAAAAACAGGGCTGGTGATATAGCTCAGTGGTAAAGCATTTGCCTAGCATGTGTGAGGCCCTGGGTGGAATTTCACAATTCTGAAAAAAAAGAAAAAGTGAAGATTTGTCTAACTTAGGTAATATGGTGTAGAACCGTGTAGAGGTGAGGTATAGAAACCTCGCTTTTTCCTAAAATTTATATCATAGTAGTCTACACAAAATTTTCTTATTTTTGGTACTGAAGATTGAAACCAGGGGTACTTAACCTCTGAACCACATCCCTAACCCTATTTTGAGACAAAGTCTGCTAAATTGCTTAGGGCCTTGCTCAGTTGCTTAGGCTGGTATTGAATTTGTGATCCTGCTGAAAAAGGATCCAACTCAGCCTCCTGAGATGCTGGAATTACAGGTATATACCACCATACCCCACCACACTTTCTTAAAATAAATTTGTATTTCATTACCAGAAAATGTCAGGAACAGATGATTACTTATATACTCTAGAAAGTAATGTAATCCCCACAAATACCTATCTTGAAGAATTTGGTTTATTATTATATGCCCAAAGATAGTATGAAGTTGATTTTCAGGAGGCCTAAATTCTGTTTTTTCTCCACTTGACCAATTAGAACTTCATATTTAATGTGACTGGCCCTTAATGTCATTTCAAAACATATTATAGAAAAAATAGAAAGGACTGGGGATGTAGCCCAGTGAAGTGCCCCTGGGTTCAATCCCTAATACCACTAAATGTATTTATGTATGTGTATACATATATATGTATGTGTATGTATCTATCTATATTGGATATATACATACATGTTTATTTGTTACTCAGTTAAGGAAAGCCTGACAGCAAGCTGAAATTAAGTACTTCTATCCTAAATTCAGACTGGTTACTAGCACAACAGCTTTGTAAGAACTGAGTGCAGAGTACAGCCAAGTGTGGTGGTGCATATCTGTAATCCCAGTGGTTTAGGAGGCAGAGGCAGGAAAATCATGAATTCAAAGTCAGCCTCAGCAATTTAGCGAGGAGCTAAGCAACTCAGTGAGACCCCGTCTCTAAATAAAATTCAAAATAGGGCTGGGGATGTGGCTCAATGGTTGAGTGCCCTGAGTTCAATCCCCAATACCAAAAAAAAAAAAAAAAAAAAGGAACAGTGCAAGGTGGTATATCACAAAATGCAAATATAAGATTCTTTTTTTTCTTTTTTGCAGTACTGGGGATTGAATCCAGTGGTGTTGTAATACTGAACTATATCTCCAGTCTTTTTATTTTTCATTTTGATACAGGGTTCACACTAAGCAGCCTAGACTGGCCTCAAACTTGCAGTCAGTCCTGTCTCAGCATCCTGAGTAGCTGAGATTATAGGTATTTGCCACCGCATATATTATCACTGATTGCCAAAACAGATCTGTTAAGAATTCTTTGCTGGGTAGTGGCACACACCTGTAATCCTAGTGAATAGGAGACTGAGGCAGGTGGATCACAAGTTTGAAGCCAACCTCAGCAGATTTAGTGAGCCCTAAGCAACTTAGGGAGACCCTATCTCAAAAAACTTAAAGGGCTGGGGGTATGGCTCAGTGACAAGGCACCCTGGGTTCAATTCCCAGTACCAAAAACAAGCAAACAAAAACCAAAACAATCCTTCAGGTTGCATCCACTGAGGTGCTGAGGCAGAATTGTTTAAGCCTAGGAGCTTGAGACCAGCCTGGGCAACATAGCAAGATCCCATCTCAAGAAACTTCTTTGATGTATATTTATTTATTTATTTATTTATTTTAAAGAGAGAGGAGAGAGAGAGAATTTTTTTTTTTTTAAAATATTTATTCTTTAGTTCTCGGCGGACACAACATCTTTGTTGGTATGTGGTGCTGAGGATCGAACCCGGGCTGCACGCATGCCAGACGAGCGCGCTACCGCTTGAGCCACATCCCCAGCCCTTTGATGTATATTTAAAAGCTTATCATATTCAAATTATTGTTAAGTCTAAAATATCCACATATTAATAGCTTTCTTGCTTCATGGACACATTCTGGCAAAAGGAATATTTAAATTGCTACTCAAAAAATAATTCTGACTGTTCCTTATCCTATTTTGACTTCATCCTCTCCAGATGTGACTCTACCTCAGCTACTTTAAAAGTTTTCAATTTTGATGATAAATTTATCACCCTTTCAAGGCAATTTTGTAACTATTACTATTTCTAATTCTTTTTTAAAAATATATATTTTAGTTGTGGATGGACATGTTTGTTTTACTTATTTTTATGTGGTGCTGAGGATCAAACCCAGTGCCTCATACATGCTAGGCTAGTGCTCCACCACTGA